AGAATTAAAGGATTGGGGGGGGGGCTGGAGAGGTGGCTCAGTGGTTAACACTAGTTGTTCTTGCCGAAGACCCCAGTTTGAATCTCAGCACTCACATAGCAGCTAACAACTGTCCGTAACTCCAGTTCTAGGGGATCAGACAGCCTCTTCTGTCCTCCACGGGCATTGCATGACACGGGTGCACTTACCTACATGCAGGCAATACATGCATACACATAAAATAAAAATAATAAAGTTTTTTTTTTAAGTAGGGATTTCTTTAAAACAAGGGCTATGCCTGTCCAGAGAACATGTGTATCCCTAACCTGTAGCAAAGTCCTGATATGTAATAAGAAAATACTGGGAAGGAGTGGACAGAAGGGTGAAGGGAAGTGCATTAGTTCCATGTCTTGTTGCTGTGACAGAATACTCTGACAAAGAAACCTAAGGAAGGAAGGGTTTTTTGGCTTATAGTTCAAGAGAATAGTCCATTATGGTAAGGAGCACAAAGCAGGTGGGCACATTATGTTCAACTTGAGGAAGCAGAGGGAGGTGAATGCTAGCACTAAGTTCAATTTTTCCTTTTTATTCATTGCAGGACTCCAGCCCATGGAATGGTGCTGCCCATAGTTGAAAGGGTCTTGCAACCTCAAATAACCTAATGTAGGTAGTCCTCTCACAGGCATGCCCAGAGGCTTGTCTCCTTAGTGATTATAGATCTTGGCAAGTTGATAATCAATTAACCATCATAGGAAGCCTTACTCATTTTTTAAAAATGAAAAAGAAAACTGAATTAAGAGAAAAGCAAGGGCTGGAGAGATGGATCAGTGGGTAAGAATACTTGTGCAATCATGAGGACCAGAGTTCAAATCCCAGGGCCCATTTAACAAGCTGTGTATCCACAAGCATCTATGCTCCAAGGGATCCAGCACCCTCTTCTGGCCGCACATACATATGCAACACACACAGATTTTTTTTTAAAAGAGAGAAAAGAGGAAAAGATGCGCTTTATCACTTCTTAATATATCATCTCTCCTTTGATTATGTGTTTTGCTGATAGATTATTTCAGGTCCAGAATGGGGCATTTCTGGTGGGATTGGGCAAAGAAGGAGATAAGAAAATTCTTGGGTTTTGAGAAGACCAAAATTATAAGTAGCTCAATCCAGCTCTCTTCTCCATTTGTGCATCTTTGGGAGGGAATATTGTAGATTGAGCCTAGGACCTGGTGTATGGTAAGCACATATTCTGCCACTAAGCTACCTACAGCCCCTAGTGGAATATTTTTCATGGGCCATCCATCAAGTTGTCCAAGTGTGTGCACAGGTGTCTTATCTTGTTGAGAATCATTTCAAGTATTTTTCTCATTGTATTCAGACATCACCTATAGCAGATATAAAAAGCACCATATGTAACTACTTTGTGTTTCTGTTTTATTAAAAATTTCCCTCTAGCCCAAAACTAAATGTGATCCTTACGTCCTTGAACATGGTGATGAAGTGAAAATTGGGGAAACTGTGCTGTCCTTTCATATTCACCCTGGCAGTGAGACCTGTGATGGCTGTGAGCCAGGGCAGGTTAGAGCTCACCTTCGCCTTGATAAGAAAGATGAATCTTTCGGTATGTAAAACATATTAAGTATGGGTATAGTTGATACTTTTTAGAATACTTTCATTCACTAAGTGTTTAAAAATAGGTAGTGGCTTGTTCCCTCTCCACTACTGATCCATCCCCCAGCCTTCATAGCTCATTGGCATGAAGAGGACTGAGGTACACGAATCTACCAGCCTATCAATGCAGTAGTAATCGGAGATAAACACGTGTCAGTGTTTAGTGTCACAAGACTAAGAAATGACATATTAGGAATTTGATCCTAATAGATAATTGACTTTTCTGTGCATTAATTTGATGATGTAACAACATTGTTTTCTGACTAGAGGAAAGTTAGTAATTAGCTGTTTGTACTATTCCAGTTTAGTGGGCTTTTGCTGTGGTCTACAGTGGTAATTGACTATCCTCTAAGAGTAATTGTGCTTGAAACTGCTGAGAGTAAAGCTTTGGGGTTTGGTTTTGTTGACTTGTGGTGGAAGGGATTGAAGCCAGGGTTAGGCAAGGACTCTACCATTGAGTCCTTAGCCCTGTGGCTTTTTGGAAATTATACTTAATATTTCTGCATTTCAGCTTCTATTATAATAATAATTGAAAGTTGAGATACTAATTTTTCATTTGGTGACCATATACCATAAGTTTTGGGTTTTGGTTTGCTTGCCCAGTAGGTTTGCTTCCCCAAATGCTACTGTTCCCCAAATAATATGAAAGTTCCTGAAGAACTTTCATATTATTTATTTTAACTTCTGGTAATCTGAATGGGGTACCAGTACTATTAGGTTTTTTAAATTTAATTTTTAAAGTAATATTTTGTATTTAATTTTGAGAATTTCATACATGTATGCAGTGTATTTTGATCACCCCCTGTTCCTTGCCGCTCCCCCCTTAGGTCTCATACATACCACATATAACCCATCTCAACTTCATAATCACCTCTTCCTCCTCTTCCTGCCTCTCCTGCTGCTGCTGCTCCTCTCCTTTTTTTCTTTCCTTTTCAGTAACCCACTGAGTTCAATATTGGTGTATGTTTGTAAGGCCATTTACTGGAGCATGGAAAACCTAATCAGTGACCACATCCCCAAAGAAAAATGACTCTTCCCCCAGCAGCCATCAATTGCAAATGCACCTCCGGTGGGGTGAGGCCTCATGAGCCCCTCCCCTGTCCTTACTGGAATGTTGACTGAGTTGATCTTGTGCAAGTAACCATAGCTGCTGTGAGTTTATGAGTGCAACAGCTGTGTCATATGCGGAGGACATTTCACATCTTAGACGCTAGTACGTTCTTTCTGCCCATTTTCAGCAATGTTCCCTGAGCCTTAAGGGGAGGGATTGTTAATGTAGATGTCCCATTTAGGGCAGGACACTCAGAGTCACTTATTCTCAGCTCTTTGATCAGTTAGGAGTCTCTATATTAATTGCTGCCCACTGCCACTGCAAAAAGAAGTTTCTCTGACCAAGACTGAGAGTAACTCGGGTCTGTGTGTATAAACATAAATATTCAGAAGGCAATTTGACAGAATGACCATTAGTAAAACAATAATAGGTTCCCCTCTTGGATCTGTGACATCATTAGCCTGGACTTTTGATCAGGTTTACAATACGAGTCATTAATTCCCTCCTATGAAGCAGGTCACAAATCCAGTCAGAAAGGGGTTACTTCCATAATAGTTATGCCACTATTGCACCAGAGGATGTAACTTGCTGGGCAGATATATGCAGGATCCAGGGCTAAGTAAGACCATTGATGTCTTTTCTCCCCTAGAGGCCTGGGTAGCACCTTCTTCCAATGTAAAAGCTAGCTCACAGAGAGGAAATTTCACCTTCAATTCTGGATTGATTTCTCTATGTCTTCCAACCAAAGTGTGTGCTGTCTTCAACAATAGGGTATTACCTTGTACATGTGGATAGCTGAGAACAGTGGCAATAGCCTGTGCTGTTTGGGGGCCTCTAGTGCCTCCCTGACCAGTAATTCATAGAGTGGCATCCCATTGCTGGCATGGAAGTTTTCATTTAATAGCCTGTGTCTTCTGGAACAGTATTTTCCACACATGCAGGATTACCTCTATTCTATATATATATTTTTTAAATACACACACACACACACACACACACACACACACACACACACATATTAGCTTACAAAATAGTGAATTTTCAAAAGGCTTTTTCATATATCCTTAAGTTTGGTCAACCCATTCCCACCCTTTCATCTCCCTTATCCCCACTAAGCTTTTTTTTTTTCCCAATATATACTTTTACTGAATTTTTGTGGATTTCATACAATACATCTTAATAATATTTATCCCATACTGCTCCCCCCCCCATAGCCTGCTCACTGGCTTTCATGCATTCTGTCATATAGTTAAGGCCTATCGAGTCAAGTTTGTGCACTCAGATGTCCCTCTGTGTGAGTTCATCCACTGGAGCCTGTTCAGCCTGTCTAGCATCACTCCCTTAAAGAAGATAAACTCTCCCTCACCCAGCAGTGATCAGCTGCCAGTAGTTCCTCAGCTAAGGTTGGGACCTCCTGTCCACTTCCCCAGTTCTATGCTATGTTTTTGTCTGAGTTTGCGTGGGTCTTGCCTGTGCTGTCACCATTACTGTAAGTTCATATGAGTAAGTTCCCAGAAGCCTGGAAGACTGTTTCCTTATGCTCATGCACCTAAAAACCACCACCCTGGCTTTTTAAATCTTTCTGCTTCCTCGTCCACAATAGTCCCTGAGCCCTGGGTGGGTGAGGTTTAATATAGGAGTCCTGTCCAAGGACACACACTCTACAGGCACTTATTCACTGCACTTTGGCTGTTTGTAACCTTCTGTGTTCATTGCCCTCTGTTACATGAGGAAATTTTACTGATGAGACTTGAGAGATGCATTGGTATTCTCTCTGCCCCCTGTTCCACTATTTTCTGTGAGCCTTAGGTGTAGAGGTTCCATTGTAGATGTATCACTTGAGGATGGGCATCTCACAAACACTAATTCTCTGTGTGTTACCAGTTGTGGGACTCTGTAACAGTCTCTATCTGTTGCAAAAAGAAGCTTCATCAATGAAGAGGTGACAGGCATACTTGGCTGTCAATATAAGGATCCATATTTAGCATACAGTAAGAAATTACATTTGTCTAGGGATGTGACAGACAGAGTTTTCTACAGGCTCTATGACCTTTACAACCATGTATATTTGACTGTTTACAGTGCCACACATAAGTTTCCTCCCATTGAGCACACTTTAAGTCAGATTAGATAGCTGTTGATTACCCTTCAAGATAAACGTGCCACTACTACACCAATAGAGAGTTTTCTGTTCCAGTCGTTGTTCCCACTTAAACTCAACCTCCATTCTCCCCCTTCATTCATGTCATATATGACTTATTCTCTCCTCTCCCGAGTAAAGCTTCCACTACCCCAGTGGGCCCTTTCTGGCTTCCTGACATCTGTAGACACTTCAAATTAAACATACAAATTAAAAATTCAAAGATAGGATGCACATATGAGAGAGAACATGCAGTATTTGTCTTTATGGGCCTGGGTTACCTCACGCGGCATAGTGTGTTCTAGTTCCTGATGAATGGACAATGATAATGCAGTCCTTACACAGAATGGAATTTTATTCTACTGTAAACAAAATGAAATTATGAAACTTGCAGGAAAATGGGTGGAAATGTAAAATAATTATACTAAAATAACCTAGTATATTTTTCAGGTCAATATTAATTTTCTGACAAGTCTGTCAGATTGAAACTCACTTTTTTCTTCTTAGTTGGTCCAGCATTAACTAAGGAAGAAAAAGAGTTGGTAAGAAGAAAAGCATTAAAGAAAATACGTGTTAAGTATGGATTGCAGGTAAGGATGTTGAATATTGTTTCACATGTTAAATTGTATCTGTGATTGTGGATAAAAATGCTTTCAAGTATACTAAGTACATTATATATGGTAACATGCTATTTAACATAATTACTTATGTAATTTCTATAATTCTGGTCTTTATAGCCTAACAACTATTGAGGTTCGAGTTGAAATGGTAGTTCCTTACATTTAAATGGACATTCTGGTTTCCAGAAAACTTTCATTAATATACTGTAAATCCACTTTGGGGTGGAGGGGGACTGTACAAGAGCAGAGACAGAGAGGCTAGAGAGATGGCTTAGCAGTTAAGGGTGCTGGTTGCTCTTCCAGAGGACCTTGGTTCAATTTCCAGTACCTATATGGTGGTTAACAACTGTCCTAACTCTAGTTCCAGAGGATCTGATACTCTCTCTGGCCTTTGCAGGCATTGCACAATGCTGGTACACTTATATATATGCAGGCAAAACACTTCATACATATTATTAAAAAAAAAGCAACAACACACACAAGTGAGATACCGCTAAGCATTATTAGAATGGTGTAAAAAATTTGAAAGGACTCTACCAAACCTTGGAAAGATAAAGAAACTGGAGCTCGTACATTGCTGGTGGTAATGTAAAATGGCTCAGTTACTTTGGAAAACAATTTGATAATTTTTTTAACATTAAAGGGGGCTGGATTTGTAGCTCAGTGGTGAAGCAACTGCCTAGCATATGTGAGGCCTGGCCTGAATTTGATTCCTGCCCCCGCCCCTCTATACACAGAAACTTAAATATGCATCCACCATATGGTTCTGCCATTCCAATTTATGGTATTTGCATGAGAGAAATGCACACATATTTTGCTACAAAGACTGGTAAGTAAATGTGTATAAGTGCTTTTTTGGTAATACCTCCAAACTGGGGATTTTAGATGTCCATTAAATATGAATAAACAAACTGCTGTAGTCTTATAGTGGAATACTCTTTATCAATTAAAAAAAAAAAGTGAGGACCATTGATACCTGGATAGATCTCAAAATGAATGTGTTGAACAAAAGAAGCCAGTCAGATGAGAACATGCAATAATGCTTCCATTTGTGAAGCAAGTTCACTTTGTGCTGGTTTCTGGTTTGTCTGAGTGCAGTGAAGTATACTACATGCATAAAATGCCTATAGAGACCAGAAGAACGTACTGGGTCCCCTGGAACAGGAGTTACAGATGGTTGTTAGCCACCTGTGTGTGCTGGGAACTGAACATGGGTCCTCTGCAAGAGCAGCCTCTTAACCACTGAACCATTTCTCCAACCTGTCATAAAGCTTCTTAAAAAGTTGCTGTTGGGGCTGGAGAGAGAGAGCACAGTGGTTAAGAACACTGCTCTTGCAGAAGACCTGGATTCAAATCCCAGCACCCACATGGCAGCTAACAACTGTCCATAATTCCAGTTCTAGGTTATCCGACAGCTTCTTCTGTCCTCCATGGGCATTGCACGACACGGTTGCACTTACCTACATGCAGGCAACACATGATATACATAAAATAAAAATAATAAATAAAATATATTTTTTAAAAGTTTAATTGTATTATCTTTTGGAGGATAAAGTCACAAAGTAGGTGGTTCTGTTTTTCTTCTCTATTTAAAGTTAAAATTCTGTAAAAACTTCTGCAGTACTTGAATACTATCTGATCCTCAGCATCTCTACATGAATGAGTGACTTTTTCATGTAAAGATCAGCAGATAATAACAGTAGGAAGGTGACCTTCTGGATCCTTACCAGATTCTGCCTCTATGGCACTGCCATACCTGGGTGTGCCTTTATCCTTGAGCCTGCCATGCTGCATCAAAATGTTGTGTCTTTCCTGGGGCTTTAAAATTGTCTACATTCTACTACCTAATATGTAACTGAACACACACTATCCACTAAATACATGTTGGATAGTGAATTAGTCATATAAATGGAGTTTTATTGATGCTAAAAGCTGTTCTTACCAAGAGGACTATTTTCTAACTTTTAAGTGACTTTCTGTGTTTTTCCCTTCCTCTTGGAAGTATCGAACTATGTTAGAGTCTTTGAAATCCTTAGAGAAAGGAGGAAATTTTTTTCTCCCAATCCCAGGGTCTCTATATGTCTTCTAATGATTGTTTTTTATTATCACTATTGTTATTATTGATTACGTGTGTACATGCATGATGTATGTGTGTGCAAGTGTGCCATGGCATGCATGTAGAGGTCAGAGGACAACACCCTGTGAATTTGGTTCTCTTCTTCCACCTTTATATGGGTTCTGGGGATTGAACTCAGGTCACTAGGCCTACAGGGCAAGCACTTTTGCCCACTGAGCCATTGAATATTTTAGTTCATATGACAATATAATGCCACAACATTAAGTAAAAATACATTGAATTTTCACTGTGTTCTGTCATTTGTGTTTATTTTGTGTATAACTTGAAAAAAATACAAACATTTAAAAGAGAATAGAATAAAAGTAGCATATCTAATAACAGAAAACTTATAGCACCACTAGTTTTGTTAACTTGTATAAAGGCCACATTGATCTATATTTGCTAAGTATGGCAGGAGTACAGAAGCTACATTTTTGTTTGCTTTCTTTTTCTCAATCAATGGTTTGTGACTGTTAAGAATATAGACTATGAAGATGAAAAAGCCTTGAAGAATCCAAAATATAAAGATAGAGCTGGAAAGCGCAGGGAGCAGGTTGGAAGTGAAGGAACATTCCAAAGAGATGATGCCCCTGCATCTGTTCACTCGTGAGTATTGAACAACTCTGCTTGAGACAGTGTTGGTTGTATGATTACACCACAGCGTAGTCTGACTCACAGGGCAGTGCATTCTGGTAGGCAGCCTTTAAAGGGACAGTCAGATCAAGATGGAAATTCTGTCTATTTGCTCTTACTACTTAGCATGTCGTTATTCCCCAGATGCACACATACTTAAACACACACTGTGCGTAGATAGGTAGCACTCTAGACACTTTATGGTGTCAGCTCCCTTTTGCATACTGGACAACTAGAAGCTATTGTTGTTATGGACTGTGTTTTTTGTTGATATTTGTTTTCACAATTACTTTTAACACTCAAGTACTTTTGTTTTATTTGTTTTAAAATACTTGTTTTTCTTCGATGTAGTTTTTTTCTCTTGGTAAAGAAAGTGATTTTTGAGGCCTATAATAGAACTGTACTTATTCATTAAATTAGAATTAAATTCATTCTAGGTTGAGCCAGTTTGACTCTGTCATGCAGAATTGCTAATTAGAAAGTTTTGATTCTCATAATTCATTGGTTCTAAGCTGTACTACATGTGATAGTTTTAGTTTTATAATTACAAATGATAGTAATTTTCTTATGGTGCATAGAACGGAGCATCTTACTATTCATGGAGTCAGATTTGATGAATTACAGTGTTAAGGTTAGATGCAGTGAGCAGAGTGACATACTTTTATTTATTTAGTTCCTGTTTATTATGTTCCTGAAGAACATAATATGAAGAATATGAAGATTACATTAGATATAAATTAGAGGGCAGAAAATAAATGAAGCACATTGGTCTGTTTTACTTGGTTGTTCAAAGAAGTTAAAAGTGCATATTTATACACTAAAAAGATAATGAAAATAGAAATGTAAACCACTCTTGTGTTAGAATGTAAAATCATAGTACAGAATGTAATAGTCAATGAGAGCTTTGTTTCACCTGCTTTGCTTTCTTTATTGGTACATACAGTTACAGAAAGGTACGCCAATGCTGAGTGTTCATTCAGTGACACTGTAAGATTCACATATTCAGTACACAAGTAACCCCTTAAACCCACACTCCTTTGACCCTGTGCTATTACTGTCCTGTTTTCTATCCTTAAATTTTTTTTTCACTTATTTCAAAATTTTAAGTAAATGAAACAGCACAGTATTTACTTTGTGCCTCTGTTCTTTCTGTCCTATGTGACTTTTTTAGCTAAAGCTTATTTTTGTGACCATAGAATTTATTTCGTGAACAGTTTCAATATGTGCAGACATCTGGATTGTAAGTTGTCATTAGCTTTTCTGGAATGACTTTTTGTGTGTATTTGGTGATCATCTTTCTGTTAAGTAGCATATATAATGTAGAATTTGTATCTTCAGCTTTATGAAGTAATGCCAGTTTTGTAAAGTATCTGTACTGATTACTTTTAACTCATAGTTCATTATACATGTGGCCTGAAGAGTCTTTGTAAGTCATCTTCATTTTCCTTTAAAGTGAAATTACAGATAGCAACAAAGGTCGGAAGATGTTGGAGAAAATGGGTTGGAGAAAAGGCGAGGGCCTGGGAAAGGATGGTGGAGGCATGAAAACGCCGGTAAGACTTGTGTTCTCTTTCATTCATAACTCTTAAGTAGACGTGGACTGTGTCGTGCTGTGCCAGGCATTTCTCTGTATGCTGAGGATATAGTAGCAGCCCCAGGTTAGTCTCAGCTAACAAATGTGGGTTTTGTGCTTTGGAATAGCCCTGTTTAGAATTTTTTTTATTTTTTTAACATCAAAGCTATTAAAGTACTATTTCCTGAATCGAGGTTTTCTTGTGCTTTTTAGTTTTATGTGTGTGGTTGGTTTTTTTGTTTTGTTTTGTTTTTTATTTTGCCACATTGGGTATTAAACCTAGGGTGTTGCACATGTGAGACAAGCACAGTATTGCTGAACTATACCCTCAGACCTGTAAAGATTCTTAGCAACATTCTTACTATGTCTGGGGCTGAGCAACATTTCAGGAACAGTTAGTGTTAGTTTACAGATAGGCAGGTTTTGTATTACCTGAAGAATATCTTATGTTCAAGAATCAGAACAATTTTATATAAAATATGGAGACTAATTTCTGGAAAACACTGTAGTAGTTAAGTTCTATAGTCCCATGTTTGAGGGGAAGTAACAATTGTCTTTCACCAAAAAAAAGTTATGAGATAACCTGACAATAGAACTTTCAAAGTACTTAGTATTCAATGAAATGGTTGAATCAGTGTAAATTTAATACCAATTTTCCTCACTTTCATTGAGATATGATGGACAAAATATTTCTATGTTAGACTTACAGTATATATGTGCTCTATCACTGTGTTTTGGGGCACATTTGAAGTTAAATTTCTTATGTGAAACTGAGGATAAGAACCCTTTTTCAAGGGTGTCCTGAAGATAAAACTCCTAAGCATGGTATACCTTATATAAGGTGCTCAGTCACTGGTTGCTTCTCAAAATTACAAGTAACATTCATCTGTTAGGAAAATAAACAGGTTCTCTTCATGACTCTCTGTGTATACTTGTGTATATGTGCCCGTACACATTTCTGCTAGTGGAACTCAGGGCTTTGTACACAGCTATGCAAACAGTCTGAAGTTGAGTGATTTCCCTAGACCTTCTTTATACTGTTTAGTGCTTAGTCTTGTAGTCTACTTGAGTGAAGCCTGGGCAGGAGGTTTAAATATGGGCATGACCTTTATTTCTGTTTAGAATGGGAATGACCTATTCTGCACTATTTGGGTGTGTCCATCCTGTGGCCTGTGGGCTGCATGTTGCCTAGGATAGCTATGAATATGGCCCAACAGAAAATCATAAACTTACTACACTTGATCTTAGCCAAAAGGCCAAGAAGCGATAAAAAAATCATAAACTTACTTAAAACATAAATAAGATTTAAAAAATATTTCTATTGATTCTTGGAGAACTTCCTATAGTGTACTTTGATCATATTCAGACCTCCACCTTACTACCACTACCCCTGACTCCATGACCTCTTTATTTTTTTAAAGGCCTATGAGAATAATTCACGTTCCCCAAATGCTCTTGAGTGTAGGTTCATCCCTGGTTAGCCTATCTGGCATCACACCCTTAAAGGAAAACTGACTCCCTTTCCCAGCAGCTATCAATTGGCAATAATTCCTAGGCTTGGACTGGGGTTTCTTGCCTACCTCCCCCATCCATGCTGGGTTTTTGTCTGGCTTGGGCTTGAGCAGGTCTTGTGCATGCTGTCACAAACACTATGGGTTCATGTGTGCAACTGCCCTGTGGTATGCGGACAACAGTTTCCTTGTATTCATCTACCACCTCTGGCTCTTACAGTCTGTCTACTCCCTCTTCTGCAGTAATCCTGAGACTTGGGAGGAAAGGGTATGATATAGGTATCCCATTTAGAGTTGAACACTGTGCAGTCTCTTATTCTTTGCATGTTGTCTAGTTGTGGGTCTCTGTGGTGATTGCCATCTGCTGCATGAAGAAGCTTCTTGTTGAGAGTTGAGAGATGCACTAATTTATGGGTATAACAAGTCATTAGGAGTCAGTTTAATACTATGTCTCTTTAGTGGAATAATAGTAGTAGGTTCTCCTAGCCTGTGACCTATCTAGCCAAAGGTTCTTAGCCCTCATAACAGTGCCAGGTACGGGCTCAGTCTTGTGATGCAGGCCTTAATTCCCATCAGAAGAACATTTTCTGATTACTCCCATAACATTCATGCCATAATTGTACCAGAGAAGTTGTAGGTTTTTGGTTTTGTTTTTTTCATTAAAAAAAATATTTTACTGATTTATTTTGTGTGTATGCGTGTATTGCCTGGGTAAGTGCACCCATGTCATGCAATGCCCATGGACAGAAGAGACTGTCGGATCCCCTGGAACTGGAGTTACAGTTGTTGGCTGCCATGTGGGTGCTGGGATTCGAACCTGGGTCTTCTGCAAGAACAGTCAGTGTTCTTAACCACTGAGCCATCTCTCCAGCCCTCATTTTTTTCATTTTCTAAAAAACTCTATTGTACAATTTTAAGAGTATGAACTTTGTTGATGAGACCATCTGTCATAGTTAAAAAGATTGAACATACCTAAAGGTTTAGTGATTGCTATTTAAGGAGCATTTCATTTTTTGTAGAGTCAGCTGTGCTTAAGATTGGCAAGACAATGCAAAAACACTTTGAAAGTCCATGGACAGTAGTACTTGTATTCCTGTATGTATTTGATGTATGTGACTTTTTTTTTTTCCCCATCAGTCTTTACTAAGTCAAAGAATTATAATCAGAGTATCAAGTTAGACACAGTGGATTTCAGTGTGTTTAGGTTCTAAAATAATTCCTCTGTTTAACTTTTGGTAAAGATCCAGCTTCAGCTTCGACGAACACACGCGGGCTTGGGGACAGAGAAACCATCCTCAATTGATGATGTCCACCTTCTCCAGAACAAGAGCAAAAAAAACTGGGACAAAGCACGGGAGAGGTTTGCTGAAAATTTCCCAGAAACTAAACCTCCAAAAGATACATCAGGGACCACGCCTTGGGTGAAAGGGACTGTGGAATGATGGACAGTCACAGAAATGACTGGAGCTTTTTTAAAAAACAAAAAAGAGTTTAAAACTCTTATTTTATTACAGAAATTATTGTCCCTAAAAGAGAAACAGGTAGGAACTCTGTTAAAATAATCCTGTCTTGCTTCAGAAATGTCTAATAAAGTATGGATTGCAGCTTTTAGAGAGTGTTTCTTAGACCAGTGAGCAGTAACTAGATGAAGGCAGTCAGTGGCTCACGTTGGCACTGATGGAGCTTGTCAAATGCTTGTTATTTGATCTTGTCATTTATATCACCCATCGAGAGGACAACTAGCCATGTAAGCAAAATTCAGATAGCCACTAATGACTTAAATGTACGTTTGTCCTGTCTCTATATATTCCTTATTATAAGATGCACAGAAAAAAACATCAAAAGTTTATAAAAATAATTCTATGTGTATACTTGTTTATACCTTTTAGAATTTAGATTTTTTTTTTAAGTCAAGAAACTATGAATAGTGGTATATAAATTTTATTAACCTTGAAATAACTGAAGTAATAATGAAGAACTGATGAGCAGGTGATATGTTGTAGAAAATTAGTCTCATACTGTTTTCTTCTGTGAAGAATCTGTTGATTTATACTAGATATCCAGCATTTGTCTTTGGTCTGTTTCCTAGCTGATGAGATACTTAGATATGGACAACAGGTTCAGTACTGGCATATTCATGTGCTGGCATTTGTAGTTTTAATAAATACCATTGCAGGCAATGGAGTTGGTCCAGAGAAATCTAATGTCTAGTGCAGACAGATTACCTAGCCAAAGCCTCAAAATATTTATTGAAATGTTCTTAATGCAATAAAAAATCATTTTAGCATTTAAAAGACTTGATTCCTTGAACTAGTGATTTAAACATATTGATGTTCTTTGAATTTGCAACCAGCCAGATTGTCCACTTTGAATTGGCATCCAGTGGCAGGAGAAAAATCTACAGGGAGCAAGTGTCCCAGTTACCACTGGATTTTTTTCTTTTCTGACAACTATTCACTGGAAAATTGACACTGGAATTGACCCTTTTCTGACAGTAAATATAAGCTACAGCTCTTCTATCTTATAAAGAAATGCCTTCAAGATTTAAATAAGGGCAGAAAATTCTGACAATGAAAACTATCCAGTAGCAGAAATAATTCAGAATGAATGGTTACCTAGTAGAACTTACAGTCTACACAGCACAAAGAAATTAAGAGGAAAGAGAGTGGGGCTGAGAAGTTAGTTAGTACTAAAGGGGAGAGATAGGATCAAACAAAATCAAGTCCCTAGAGGGTGAGGATGGGATAATTAGGCCCTGGGGGAACTTCTAACTTGTGTGTGTACACACACACACACACACACACACACACACACACATATACACACATATATTTGACTTGGAGGCAGGAATGCCTTGCATTATTTTCTCTAAAATAGGAAAAAAATTGCAGGCTGGTACTGCTGTCCTGAAGAGATAACTGCAGAAGACCTTTGAAATGAGCTTTGCTTCTGGTAGCTCTCACTCACTTGGTTAGTATAATGACTGTAGTAGTCTCATTTTTATTCTACTTTGGGGAAAATGATTTTCATAGGCTTTTTTTTTGCTAAGAAAATGGAAAACTAGAAAATTGTGGTAAAAATTGAAATATGTGTTGTACTTGCATTTTAACACCCTTTGCAGATCTAAAGTCTCAGGGCTACACTATGTAGTATTAATGTACTGACTAATGTCTGGGTCTGCCTCCTTCTGGAAAAGAAGAACTTGATCTCACTTGTCTCTGTCAAACAACGAGAAAATGTATGTATAACCACTTGGTAAACTGTAAAGTAGTACATGTGTGAGCTTCTGTTTGTTTAGAAGCAGAAAAGTGAGCTATGTACAATTTGAATTATGCATAAAACTGTTTTACATGTAACATTTTGAGTAGCAGTTTTTTTTTTAAACATGGTGTTAATTTGCTAATTTATATAGTAGCTTATAAGTGCTTGGTTTAAATAGAATTACAAGTTGCTGAATTTTAAGAAATTTACCATCTTATTTTTGGCCAGAACATGAGAAATTTGCAAAATTGGGAACTTGAAGAAACCATCCAGTTTAACAGAAATCATTTTCTGATCCTCAAAGAGAACCGAGTCAGGTGTGGTTGCTCAGATCTTTAATCCCAGCACTTAGGAGGCAGAGACAGGCAGATCTCTGTGAGATCAAGACCAGCCTGGTCTACATAGTGAGTTCCAGGCCAATTGGAGCTACAGGGAGACTCTGTCTCAAAAAAACGGAAAAAAAAAATGAATTTTTTTTTTCTGCTTTTGAAACAGGGTTTAGTTCCAGTGATTCCTTTTTTTTCTGATTTTGAACTTGAGATTGCTTCACTCAAATGAAAAGCCTTCTGGTTTTCCATAGGAAAGACCATTTATTAATTTGGCGTGTTTCCCAAGAGCAGGTAGAAGGCAGATATCCCAAACCAAGGAAAGCAGAAGGTAGGAGAAATTCTGTCCAGAGATGTCCTACAAAGTTGTGGGATGGAGGGCTGTGTGCAGCAGGGCGCCCAGGAGCAGTTTGGGAGCCAGCCCCTAACGGTGTTTCTGCTCTGAGTCTTGGACTCAGCATTTCAGTTCACTGTTTGAAACTTTCAAGTGGAATGCCATGGAGTTCCTCAGAGTGAGATGGCATTTCTGTGTGCACCTGTGTATCAGCACCAGGTTTTTGATTTTGCCTCCTTGCTTTGTCTTAGTGTTGGCTTGTGGCCTTGTAGTTGCAGAGTGACTTGTGGAACTCTGACCATCGGAGTCATGTCTTAAAACAGGAAGAAAGGTGTAAGGGTGGAAGAGTGGCGCTCAGTGCCACTTCTCTTTGGAAAGTACTGTGCCCACTGAGCTGCACCTCCAACCCAAGAAATACATTTCCTCACAGTGTCACGAAGGACATAAGTATATGAATACATAGCACAGTAGCAGTTGTTTTCTTCTTTTCCTCCCTCCCTCCCTCCTGTTTGCATCAGCGTCTTTCTGTCCTGCTGTCTTGAAATTGTCTTACTACCTTAGCCTCCCAGATGGTGGGGTTATAGATGCTTACTCCCATGCTCAGTATGGCATAAACTTTATATCCTACAAGTTCATGAGCAGTTAAAAAATTGTTTTGTTTTTATTTTATTTATATATTGCCTGCATGTTTGGTGCACCTGGATCATGCAATGCCCACAGAGGCCAGAAGAGGGCATCAGATCCCCTGGAATTGGAGTTAGGGACAGTTGTTAGTCACCATGTAGATGCTGGGAACTGAGCCCAATCCTCTGCAAGAGCAGCCAGTGCTCTTAACTACTGAACCATCTCTCCAGTCTTGAACACTTACTTTTCAAATCACTGATTCTTAGCACTAAATCCTACTATGGCCTGTGATTAGATTTTCAAACTGTTTCACAGATAGTGACATGACATTGTTTTAGAGGCTACAACTGTGTTTCTGTGTCTGTGTGGTGGTTGAAAAGTTCTCCAAAGAGGTTCCAGTCCTCATACCTCTAAGTCTACATTGATCTGTTTTATGTTTACGATAGTTTTCTTGTCATTTTTGTTTTGAGACGGGGTCTAACCCTCTACGCCAGGCTGATTGCAAACTCATAACAGTCCTCCTGCCTCAGGCTGCTGAATGGTACAATTACAGACAAAAGCCATCATGTCCAGCCCCAATAGGTTTCCCATGAAGAAAAGGTTATTGCATAAAAATAGAGGGTGGGAACAAGCCCTTTACTGTAGCTGTTCTTACATACCATGTTAAGAAGTTCTGAGGTAATAAGGATTTCACTGAAGGATTTGTTTATGTATGTGTTAATGCAGGGTCTGGCACCTGCTTGCACAAATATTCTACCACTGAGCTACGCCCCAGTCCCTAGTAAAGAATTTTAAGCAGGGAAGAGCTTTCACTGGATTGCCTTTAGCAAGAAGGATAACTGGTTGGGTAAAGGGAGGAGAGTAGGGGCTGGAGACCTTGAGATTCACTTCGTATAGCAAATACTGAGTCTACAGCAAGTGCTGCAGTGCTAGAAGACAGGAAACCTTGTTTTTCACTAAAGATTAATGTTTGGCAGGTCCTTGGTAAACTTTGTGGCAGGAATGCAGTGCACCTTAGTTGTAGGTCAGGGACTGCACTAGGCACTTAGCATCTATTCTTGACTCCTAACTCTTATGAATTAGAAACAGAGGTTTTAGAGGTTCTTGGGGCTGGAAAAATGGCTCAGAGGTTAAGAACACTAGTGGTTCTTGTAGAAGACCCAGGTTCGAATCCCAGCACTCACACGGCAGCTACCAACTGTCCGTAACTCCAGTTCCAGGGGATCTGATGGCCTCTTCTGTCCTCTGTGGGCATTGCATGACATGGGTGCACTTACCTACATGCAGGCACAACACTCATACACATAAAATAAAAATAATAAAATATTTTTAGAGTTTCTTAATGGGGTTGGAGAGCTCTCTCAGTGATTAAGAGCACTGTTTGCTTATTCAGAGGACCGGGATTCGATTCCCAGCACCCACATGGCAGCTAACAACCATCTGTAACTCCAGTTCTAGGGGATCCGATACCTTCTTCTGACTTCCGAGGGCACTGCATGATACAGGTGCACTGTATGTGTGTAAATACATGCAGGCAATACATTCATACACTTAAGATAAAAATGATAAAATATTTTTTAGAAAAAAGATTCTTATTTGGATGGAGTTCAGTAATAGAGTCCCCAGTACTGCTGACATTGAAAAAGAAGGGAGGAGGTATTTTGATCAAGGTCTAAAGGCCTGTTTGCCAGAAGTGACAGTGACAGCAATCAGCTGGCTGAGGGTTCTTTTGCTTCATCTGGGTAGAATCTTGGGGATGGAAGCAGCAAAATCAGCTCAAGTGCTGGTCTCCAACAGTGTTCTTTTTCCCTTGTGATAGCAGTGAGCCTCCACAGTAGGCAAGCAGAAAGTGTCAAGTGGAACCATCTAGTGTTACAGTCCTAGTGCACACCTCCTTATCAGGACCCCTGGCCCCAAAGAAATGACAGCTGCCTAGAACTATTCTGGCCGTCAAAGTCTGCAGGTTCTCTTCTCTGACTCCTAGCCTTTCATCCTTTAGCCTCAGCTCTCCACCCTTGGCTTCTCTCTCTATAGCCTCTTCCCTTCCTCTTCTGCCTACTTTCAAACTGTTCTGCTGCTGCTTCTTCACCTGCCAGGCTTCAAATGTTGATCTCTGTAAGTCTCACAACTCAGCCCCTGGTGAGCCCTACTAGGGAGCCTGCCTTGCAGGGATTACACTTGCTTGGGAGCCAGGGTGCAAGCCAGGTTCCTCATTGTGCTATATGGGAGCCAAGTGCCCCTCTGGCCAAGGTGGAAATAGTGGCAGGGTTATCTAGAGTTCATCCAGGCTTGAGATAGCAAAACATTTGTTACAGACTGTTTCCAGTGGCCTGTCTGGGGCCATATCACCACCAGGACATGACCGATTGCTGCCTCTTCAGCTGCTGAGCTTGCTGCTTTCACAGCCTGGCTGGCCACTGCTCAGCTGTCACTGCCACTGCAGCCGGAGCCAGGCAGCCAGCTGAAATCTTGCACTAGTTGTCCCAAGGCACCTGTGAAACATTGAAAGTGGCAGGTGCTGGCAAAGGAGGGTGTCCGTCCATTTGACCGTTAGAATGATAGTCCTTTCGCTCAAAGCAGCTAGGGCAGCAAAGGAGAGTCCAACTGCCCTATCTGGGGCCAGCAAGATAGCTTGGTAAATAAAGGCACTTGCCACCAAGTCTGAAGACCTGAGTTCCATCCCTGGGACCCACATGGTGGAAAGAGAGAACCAATTCCCTCCTACTAGTTGCCCTGTGACCGCTACTCAATGTACCATGGCACACTTGCGCAGGCATGCCCACATGTAAATAAATAATTGTTATAATTAAGGAAAAAACCATTCAAATTGTCCCATCCCTAACATCTTTGCTTATTTTCAGGAAAGTGGAATATCAGAGATGCTTACAATAAGAACTTAAGAATGCATAACTAACATAGGTAGTGACTTTTACAGATTTTTAAAAATTTTTTAAATGTTTATTTTTTATGTGTATGAGTGCATTGCCTGCATGTATGTAAGTGTACCCATGATGTGCAAAGCCCACAGAGGTCAGAAGAGGGTGTCTGACTCCCCTGGAACTGGAGTTACAAGCCCACAATGTGGGTACTGGAACTTGAACCCAGGTCTTCTGCCAGAACAGCCAGTGCTCTTAACCACTGAACCATCTCTCCAACTTTTACAGATTAAAAAAAAAATTTTTTTTTATGTGTACGAGTGTATTGCCTGCATGTAAGTGAGTGCACTCATGTCATGCAATGCCGTGGAGGTCAGAAGAGGACTTCGGATTCCCCTGGAAATGAAGTTAAGGACAGTTCGCAGCCACCACGTGGGTGCTGGGAATCGAACCTGGGTCCTCTGCAAGAGCAGTCAGTGCTCTTAACCGCTGAGCCATCTCTCCTAATGTTTCATTTATTATTTTATTTTATGTGTATGAGTGTATTGCCTGCATGTATGTATGAGTGTACCCATGTTGTACAGTGCTTTGGAGGTCAGAAGAGGGCATTGGATTCCCCTGGAACTGGAGTTAAGGATGGTTTGTAGCCACCATGTGGGTGCTGGGAATTGAACCCAGGTCCTCTGCAAGAGCAGTCAGCGCTCTTAACCACTGAGTCATCTCTCCAGCTCTGACTTTTACAGATTTTAACAGTGCTTAAGCACCTGCACAGTACTCTGGAGAGAGGTTTCGGCCTCATCAGTCTGCAGAGCTGGGGGCTGCAGTCTTTGCTCTTCATCCCCTGGGATGGTGAGGAGCACCAGCTGAAGAGTGACTGGGTTCAGATTACAGCTCCACTATGCAGCCGAATGACCTGGACAAGTGTATTCAAGCTCTGTG